TGTGTCGATTTTTTTCGACATGTTACACGGGAACAACTTTTCGCGCAACATTTACTTTAGTATTCAGTCCACGCGCTGCCAACTCACTCACGGCTATCTTTTTTTTTTTTTTCTTTCTTTTATCATTTTTTATCACCAACAAAAATTGTATCTTGTCTGTTTCTTTAAACTTACTTCTACAGTCGGCGCCATTTTGTTGACGTCAAATTGGTGATGGACATATTACACACATCGATTTGCTGAAAATTCGTCATCTTGTGTTGCAAGTTTTTGAAGCCAGATCAAAAACTTGCAACGTGTTGCAGAGCGAAAACTTGTGCGAAAAATCGTCCTTTGCGCTATGCTACACGACAACGAATTTTCGTGCAACAGTGTTGTACAAAAAATCGGCGTTGCAAGTTGGTCCGAGTAACACTACCTTAAAACGATTCGAATACGCTACGTGTGGACGCGAATTTTTTAAGATCCGCAACAAAAAATTTGCGGATTCAAAAATATCCGGATAAGTGTGGACGAGGCCTAAGTATACATAGATGTATATATTTTGAGAAATAGAAATGTCAAAATGCTAACTCAGAACGTAGCTTTGCAAATATTGTCTCTGCCCAAACTGATTACCAGTTAAAAATCAAAGAGGCTATGCATCTCAAATGGCAACAACCCCTTTTGAATCAACGGTTAACGCACACTAAATTCGCACTTATTTTGTAATCTTTGCTGTACATAATAGTACAAAGTAGTAGACACCTATTGTTATCTGGTTATGTAATTAACTCTGTCACGCGTAACTATACCAAGTAAATAAACAAAGCATTTTTTTGATAACTTATACCTGTTAATCGCCTAACAGAATCACATATGTAGAAGTAGAAGAGACGTCAAGGGAAAACTGGTCTAAGAGAACATTGTGGCTTCTTCATCGAGAAAACGAGGAAAACGTTCCTCAAAACATTTCGTTTCAGTCACGCAACAGTTGCACAAAATGAATCGGCATAACAATCAATAACACAGGAAGCCCAAATTACACCGATGTAAATGATCATGAAGTATTTCATTACTTGTCTTATACCTGTTAATCGCCATAAATAATCACATATGACGCAGAACAGACATTACTAATGGAAGACTGATCGCTGCCCTCAGCCCGTACAGCATAATCTCCAGCCAAATATTTCACTGTACGGCCCTCCCACACGGCCAATAAGTACTCAATATCAATATTCATATTAGCCAAGCAAAACCATCTAGACTACAAACACTACTGCTACAATAATATTTCGAAATATTCTCTGCTGAAAAGGGCTTCCTCGCCTATTACTTCACTTCGACTACATGACAAGTTTGTGAGTATTTATGTGTCAAAAAGAGTCCACAAGATCAGTGATTTTATCCAGTTTAACATACATCAGCAAATATAAAAAAATAATCAATGAAAGAAAAAACATGAAGTAATGCAACCCATAAAACAACTACACTATTGGTACTCACTGTGTAATGGCCGTGCAAACACAAACAAAAATAATGAAGTTAGAGTTTATTACCATCCAAAAAGTAGTAGGCACATGCATTTTATAAGCGCCTTTTTTTCTTCTTTTCTTTCTATATTAGGCACCAAATTCTCACGTGCTCTTATTAACTATATATAATCTAGGTTATACATTTATTACATCGTTAACATTCACTGATGATGGCGGTATGTCCGAAACTTGTTTGGATTAAAGAAACTTGTTCTATTTCT